TTCCAGGTGAAATCCAGACATCCCAACTGATGCCTTAACTCCTGGGCCAAATGCCTGCCCCATGAAGATGGCTTTTGTAAAAACCCAGATGAGTGGCTTCAGATTTGAGATGATACTGTGACTATAAATGTAAAATTAGAATACTATGTGAAAGGAACAGGGTACAAGAAGGAACTTTGAGATGTTAAAAATAAGGCTGCCAAACTAAAATAATCCTATAGAGAGGCTGAAAGATAGAGGAAAATTCCAGGAGTGTGGAGGATAAAATGACAGAGGCAAAATATGAGAATAGAAGAGAAGACATAAATATCTAGGTCCAACACCCTGCTAACAGGAATTCCAGAAAAAGAAGATAAAATGAGAAGGAAGAAGCTATCAAAGAATAATAAATCCCCAAGAGCTAAAGATAATTAGGATTATTCAAAATTAATAAGATATCCTGGATGCTGAGCAGAATTTTTAAGGCATATAAATGTAGATTTGTGCATATAGGTCATTATAAGATTTTTCAGCACCAGAGAGAAAAGTTCCCAGAAGCTGATGAGAGAAAGAAGAAGAGCAATGCGGTTTAAGATCTCAGGAGAAGCCAACGTTGTGACACAGCAAGTTAAGCCACTTGCAACACTGACATCTCTTTGGGAGTGCTGATTCAAGTCCTTGCTGCCCCACTTTCACTCTGGCTTCTAGCTAATGTGCCTGAGAAAGCAGTGGAAGATGGGCCAAAGTAAAAACTAATGGATGGAAGCTCTCAATTTTTTTCTTTCTCTCTCCTTCTGAAATAAATTAATCATTTTTTATTTTTTTTAAATGTATTTACTTAAAGTACAGAAAGATGGAAAACGAGAGAGGGAGGGAGGGAGAAATCTTTCATCCACTGGTTCATACCCTAAGTGGCCACAACAGCCAGGGCTGAGCCAGGCTGAAGCCAGGAGGCCTGAGCTTCTTCCAGGTTCCTGCACAAGTGGCAGAGGCACAAGCACATAGGCTCTCTGTGTGCTACCTTCCCAGGCAGGTCAACAAGCAGTTGGTTTGGAAGCAGAGCATCCAAGATACAAACCAACGTTCAGATATGGGCTGCCAACATTGCAACCCAAATCCTTGGGCCATTCCACTGGCTCCAATATTTTTAAAAAGATAAGGAAAGATTTGATGAGAATTGTATGTCCCACAAAACTACTGACAAGGGTTCAAGGCAAAATTAATTCATTTCCAGATAGGCATGGCTTCAAGAAGTTTATCTCCCTTGTAAAATCAGCAGGTTAACTAGAAATAGCAGATGCTATTTATGTTGCCAGCCATTTGCTTACATTTTTAAAGCCCTTGGAGCTCCCTTTTTCACTTTTATGGTATGAAATAGAGCATTTTCTTAAGCATTTTGCTGTCTTTGTTACCTAAAAAAGAAGGAGGGCTTTGGGGAGGAGAATACAAGTTCCAAAAGCCTGCTAATCTGTGTTTTCCCTATGCTTTCCTCCTCCCATTTAGACTTTTCCCTTATGTACGGCTCACATCTTTGTCTTGTGGATAGTGGTTTCATTCTTTATATTTTTATCTATATTATGTAGCTTCCACAACTAATTAGATAACTTTTTTTTATGTCTATGAGAACATATAAATAGCAATCATTCAAAATACAAGTTCTAGGGCTGTGTTTTTGCAGGCTAAGCCTCTGCTTGTGGTACCAGCATCCCATAAGAGTGCTGGTTCCAGTCCCAGCTGCTCTGATTCTGACTCATCTCCTTGCTAATGGCCTGGGAAGGCAACAGAAGAGGGCCCAAGTGCTTGGGCCCCTGCTCTCCTATGGGAGACCCAGATGAAGCTCTGGGCTCCTGGATTTAGCCTAGTCCAGACCTAGCTGTTGCAGCCATTTGGGTGTGAACCAGCAGATGGAAGAGTCTGTGCCTCTTCTCCTCTCTCTGCATCTTGGACTTTGAAATAAATAAAATATAAATTTAAAAAAATAGAGGAGTTCTACAATAATGGGTTGGAGGAATTGGAGAGAGAGCTTTTCCCTATAATTATTTATATATGTGTTATTTGTAAGCATAGAGAACAAGCTCTCCCCCATATCTGTCTCTCTCCCTCTGCCTTTTAAATAAATAAATATATCTTTTACATTTTATTTTTTATTTCTATTTTAAGATTTGTTTTTGTCAAAGGCAAAGAAACAAAAGAGAGATGTTCCATCTATTGGTTCACTCTTCAAATGGCACAAAAGCCAGGGCTGAGCCAAGCTGAAGCCATAGACAGGAACTCGATCTGTGTCTGCCGCAAACCTGGCAGGGGTGCAAGCAGCTGAAGGCTTGTTGATTCTCATAGTACTGGGCATCAACTAGGTCTTCCTGTGATTGTTACCTGGAATACCTATGGGACATGGGCCAATTCTATAGTGACTAGGTTCCAAAGGCAAACAGTCCAAGAGAGAGAAATGGCAGAAACAAAGTTTTTACTGAGTTGAATCTCTTTTATTTAACATTTGAATTTTTTTTAAGATTTATTTTATTTTTATTAGAAAGGCAGATATACAGAGAGGAGTAGAGACAGAGAGGAAGATCTTCCGTCCGATGGTTCACTCCCCAAGTGAGCACAACGGCCAATGCTATGCCGGTCCGAAGCCAGGAGCCTCTTCTGGGTCTCCCACGTGGGTGCAGGGTCCCAAAGCTTTTGGGCCGTCCTCGACTGCTTTCCCGGGCCACAGGCAGGGAGCTGGAAGGGAAGCGGGGCTGCTGGGATAGAACCGTCACCCATATGGGATCCTGGGCGTGCAAGGCGAGAACCTTAACCACTGCACCATCGCGCTGGGCCCCTGAGTTGAATCTTGATTTACTACCTTCAATGGCAATGGCCTGGTCTGAAAAATCAGTCTCACCTTTTTTTTTTAGTAATTAAAAAAATTTATTTTAATATTTATTACAAGGATAAGGGGTTACAGATGCATGTAAGCCATTTAAGGTTGGAGAATGTCAGGGTTGAGAGGGAGGGGGAGGAAGTAAATGTTTTAGTTTTCCCTCCTATGTCCATGAAAGTGGCACAGGGGCCAGAAAGAGGTAGAAAGTGTATCATTCCTTGCTATCACACTACATCTGCACCCAGGGACAGAGGCTGTCATCTGAATGTCTACTTTGAGGCCTGAATCTGGGGAAGAATATTCCAAAGATGTTATTATGTGGTGCTGATTATTCTGAGAATTTGTCAGCTTTGTTACTGCAGAAGTTAAGAAATACTTTCTAAGCCCTGTTGGCTGTCCAGGTCTATCGTAGTGTCCTAGGGGCTTGTCGTAGACCCTGCCCTGGAATGTTGTTCAACCTGTCCTTCTTTCCATCTTTTGATGAGGAATTGGAAATCTTCAGTTGGCTTAGAGGAGCCTGTTGTCTTGTCTGGATATGCTCTCCATTTTTGCACAAGGATCAGCAACCGAAGTGGCCCAGTCCGGCATCATCTTGGCCCTGTAGTGTATGTCAGTCCCACTTTAACTAGAAATCTGTTGGGTAGACAATTACAAAGACCCACACAAGGCCAATGGCAAAGAACATGGATCCCTGCCTTCCTCAGAGGAGGTGTATCTGGGTCATATTATGAGGAGAGCATGTGAGATGGGGTAAGCATTGATGTGGTCTTCTTTGAAATACCACTATAGGTGTCCACCCTATGTTCCAACTCAGCTCCTAGGAGAGTGCTCTAACATTAACTTTTACTTTGCCTTAACTGGTAGCTAAGATAGGTGTTGTAATTTTGCTAATTAGGCAATTGAAATTTACACATTGGAAAAAAATAGATGAAAAAAATATGAAATAATGTAGCTGTTCTAAGCAAAAGTATCATTTTGAAAACAAGGTGATTGTTTGAAATGTGTCAATTAAAGAAATTGCCCTAATTAATATCTGTAATTACCATCTGTGATGGTAATTTGAAAAATGATTCTTGGTCAAGAAAACCAAGTTTAATATGAGTAACAGTGATTATAAACATCATGCTTACAGTTATTTGGAAGGTAGAGTGAAAAAGAGAGATCTTTCATCCACTAGTTAACTCCCCAAACTGGTCGAATGAGCAGAGCTGGGACATTTAGTAGTCAGAAACTTATTCCGGTTTCATTGACCCATCTTCCACTGCTTTCCCAGGAACATTGCAAGGAGATGGATTGGAAGTGGAGTAGTCAGAACTCAAACCAGCACCCATATGGGATGGTGACACAGTGGACAGTAGCTTAACTTGCCACATTATAACGCATACAGCCTTAAAAAAAAAAACAGCAAAAATTAATGTGTTTATTTGAGAGACAGATGTAAAGAGACTAAGACATAGCTGTCATCTGCTGGCCCTAAATACCTGTGCAGGCAGGGCTGGCCTGCCCCTGAAGCTTGGAGCCAGGAACTAAATTCAGGTTTCCCCTGATAGGTAGCAGGACCCCAGGTACTTGATCCCATTACCCTTTCTCGGGATCTTTATTAGCAGGAAGTTAAAGTCAGGAGTCAGAGCTGGAATCCAGCCCATGGCACTCCAAGTGTGACAAGTGAATTAACTGCGAGGTCAAAGGCCTGCTCCCTGAGTTCTTCTCTGACTTGACATATTTAAATACACCGTGTCCACCTTTCTTTAAGCTACATCTAGGACAGATAATTTACAAAGTATATTTTTATGGCTTAACTTCTCTAGTGGAAGGTACCTAACCTCTGCAAAGGTTTCAGTTCTTCATCTGAAATATGGGGAGAGTCATAGTACCTACTTTACACAGTTGACATGAAAATCCGGTGAGTTAATCTAAGTGGTTGGCATGTGGCGCTCTAAGGAAAAAAAAAGTTACATGATTGTTACAAAGTAGATGAACGTGTGAATGGTATTCCTTATCTGTGTGTCAATGGAGAGTCATAACATATAATTGAATTCTTTTCCAAAAAGATATTCAAAGAATAAGGCAACATAGTGAAAATATTTGTTAAGCGCTTTCATTCGGGAAGCACATATTAGATTGCTTCTTAATTGGGTAACTCTGTTTTCTCTAGTTTGAAAAGGAAAAGCAGCATGATATTCGATCATTCTTTTTACCAAAACCTAAAGAAAGACAACTGGTGTCCTCCAGTGATGAAGCAAAGATACTTCAGGAGAAAAATACTGTGGCGGCATCAGACCCCAGGAAAAGAACTGCAGGAGATATCACCGATTGTGAAAGTGGTTTTGAACCTGAAGCTAAAAAATTGAAACCAGTCACCACCAATGACTGTGGCAGACCCCCGGCAGAGAAACCATCAGGGTCCAACGAAACCAGAGTTCCCATGGTGGACAGTGTCCACAAGGCCCCATCCCAGTCAACTGTTCCATCCCTTCCTGAACAAGACTGGCAGTGCAGTTTCTGCACCTATATCAACAATTCAATGTTACCTTATTGTGAAATGTGTGAGAACCCCCAGGGCGGAGCCGGTGAGTACAGGGGAGGTGACCAGGAAGGTCTGCAGAAAACCTGAGCTTTTGTTAGAGACTGCCATGTTCCAGGGTTGGTTTGACTCAGCACTCACTTAAAAACTGAAATAGGAAGGTCACATAGTGAAGACTGTGAATTTATCTGTTAGAGAATGTGGAAAACTGCCGATTCTGTAAAGGATGTATATCCACAAGTGTCTGTGTGATGGCATCAATTTGGCAAAAATGGACATTTCTGATTAATGTCAGCAGGATGTGAATTCAGTGGGCAGGAATAGAAGCTCTGTTGCTATGGCAGCAAATATAGTCATAGGCCTGCTGTTTTCTTTCCTCTGCTTTTTAAGGAAGTTATAGATTTTTTAATATTTTAAATAGCAAAATGGTTCATTGTGGCTTTGTTTCATGTTTTTTATTAACTTGGCAAATTAGAAAAGTGTCTCTATAGATCTCTTAAGAGCGAATTTGATGTCTGTTCTGTAAGCTTATTCTTTTCTAAAACGTTTTAAAGAGAGAAATCATCAATATATCTTAATTATGTTTTTATACTTTGACATGCTGTTTTCAGCTGTGAAAATTCTAAAATGGTTACTGATATACCTGATTGTCATTAGAAAAAGATAATTTGTTTTTAAGATTTATTTATTTTTATTGGAGAATCGGATATACAGAGAGAAGGAGAGACAGAGAAACATCTCCTGTTCAATGATTCACTCCCTAAGTGACCACAATGGCTGGTACTGTGCTGATCTGAAGCCAGGAGCCAGGAACCTCATCCAAGTCTCCTATGCGGTGCAGGATCCCAAGGCTTTGGGCCATCCTCTGCTGCTTTTCCAGGCCACAAGCAGGGAGCTGAATGGGAAGTGGGGCTGCCCATATGGGATCCCGGTGCATTCAAGGCGCGGACTTTAGCCACTAGGCCACCATGCTGAGCCCAGATAATTGATTTTTTTCCCCCCAATTATAGAGAGCATTCTTATGGTAATAGAAGATGTCAAGTTAGCAGTTTGAAAGACTAAAAATACTCCTCTGATTTTACCAGTGGTGCTAAACCTTCACATCCAATATGCATCCTACCTTAATTTTTCAGAATATTGGCACTGACAAAGACTGAACTAAGATATAATATCCTTGTATTGCAGTTCCTGCACATCAGCCTTGCTCTTTCTTCCTGTTTCGGGTGTGATCTTAAGGAAAATGTAGTCAGGAACTAACTAACTCTCTCCTTTTTCACTTTTAAGTGCTGCTACCAAAATTTGACAAATCTGCCATCTAGGTGGTTTTATTTGTAATATGGACACCTGTTATCTATGAACCAAATTGGAACCACAAATTTATTCCATAGAACATCCCTGTCACAATTAACATGATCCTGTGTATTTTCCCAAAAGTCACAGACAATGCAGTATATCGTGACTATAAAAAACATTCCTTTATATTAAGTATATCAAGTGCTTTAGTGAGAGAAATCATAGTTTAATATGACTTTTGTATTTCTGATTTTTCCTTTTTGATACCAAGAACAGTGATAATCATTCCTAGACCTATGATTATTTAATAAGCAATCCGTCAAGCACTTTAAAAAACAACAGCCTTTTGTGATTTTGAAACAAGAGAAATATCCCAAGTAGCAGTGACATTACCATATATACAATTAGATTATTAGATTTCCATGACTACAGTTTGATTTAATAATTTCTAGCCTTAATATGGATAAACCCCTAAAGTACTAAAAATCAGAATGAATTCTAATTAATTTAAATTTTTAAATAATGCTTCTCACTAGCACTTTGAGGAAAAAGTAGAATCTGAAAAATTCAAAGAACAGTATTGGAATACTGCAGTTGATAAGGTTGTAAATAGACTCTCTAGTGCATTAGAGAAAATAGGACATAGTGTGTGTTGAATGCTAGTATTTGTCAATATGTAGCACTTACCTTGTGCTTTGTCCTTAACCTCTGCAGTTTATTCTAGACATCTTACAGCTCACATTTTTCAGAATTTTTTTCTCTTAGTTGAATTGCAGGTTTTTCCCCGTGGCCTGTGTAACACCTCTCCATGGATGTCTGGAAGGAATTTTAAACTTAACATGTTCAAAATAGAATTCACTATGGCTAATTACATCCAGTCTTCACCCTTCCAGTGTTCCCCGTATCATGCTAAATACCTAAGCAGTGTCCCTGATCTCTTCCCCAGCTCCCACACTCAATCCATCAAAATAAGTTTTGTTTCCTGTAACTTTCACTCTATTGCCTGCCTCTCTCTGGAAAGCCTCCCTCATCCTTCTGATGGAGCCTGGGGCTTCCTTAGCAGTTTCTCTTGTTGCAATCCCCATGCATAGGATGTAGGGTGATTCTGTAGATCATTATTATTCCTTTGCCTAAAGCTCCCTAAACTCTTGCATTTAGTATCTGGCCTGAGCCACATTTCCTAGACTTGTGAATAGCTCTTAGCACTAATAAAACACCTTGAAGAACTTGGCCCCAGCAACTTTTACTTGTTGCTGCTTCCTAAGTACTCCAATTTCCTTTACAATAATTTAAAAAAAAAAAAAACTTACTTGGCCTGTTCGCTCATTTGTGTACTTCATTGTCCATCTCTCCATCTCTAACCCTTAGAATGGAATCTCCAGAGGCAGTCCTTTCCTATCATGTTCCTTGCTGTCTCTCCAGTATCTGGAGTCTATTAGGCAGATAGAAGATTCCCAATAAATGCTTGTATTAAATAAACAAACATTATGAATTTTTTCTTTGTCTAAGATTTAGCTGTGACTTTTTTTAAAAAACATTGCTTCAAATGTAAATTATTCATTTGATTTCAATAATTCTACAGATAACCTCAACCATATCCAAGATAAAAACAAAAGTGAGAAGGATAATTCTCAGAAAAACCCCCCGGAAGAAGTTTGCTCTAGCTCTGATTGTGAAAATCAGATCCCTGCACAACGAGACCATAGCCAGATGGCTGCGAGCAAGAAGACACCCAGACCTGAGAGAGAAGAAGGACTCACACTCCAGACAGGTAAAAGGGAAAGTCTGTTTCCATTTTTATCAACCAAATAAGAAGGTGTATATTTTGGCACAAAAATTTTTGTACCAACATGGACTCATTTTTTAATGCTATTTTCTCTAAGCAATTTGAAACATCCTCTTAATGATCATGTCTGTTTTGCACATAACACAGTTTCTACCTTGTTCCAGGTGCCTTTTGTTCCCATTTCTGTTAGAAAGACGCAGCATCTGCCACCACACACTTAAGCAGCGGCTGGCTGGATGGCTGAGTGTGTCTCCTGGCGTTGCACAACTGTTAAACAGTTGCATGTGCTACACCAGGCCCGCTGCCCAGGCTCGACCAAACTTGGCTCATTCACGTAGCAAGGTTGTTGTTTTGATATGTTGGAGGTGCCTTTAGACAAAATAGGCAAGATTGACAGATTATTAGTAGTCTTATAAAAAAAAATCATTGTTAATAGTCATAAAAAATCATTCATCTTTTACACATAATTTTTTTCCAATGACTACTTAGTCGGCTTTTTTTTTTTAATCCTTAAGAAAAAGTTTTCAAGAAACATAAATTCAAGACTGAATCATAACTATTGGGAACCAGCCATGTAGTGTTTCAGATTTAGTTACTTTCTGGTTGATTCCATGTATTATTTATAGCTGTGATGGTTAGCAAATACCAGCTTCTGTGTCATACGTTACTGTCTTTCCTGGGCCAGCTGGCAAAGTACTGGCAATAACTTTGGGTCATTTTCCTTTTCTTCATTAGTGCCCATAGTCACCAACACTTGATATTTTCTTAGTTTAATATCTTATTTGTTTTAACATATTTTTAACTTACGTTGTAGTCAGAGGTCCTACTAAAGAAAGAGTTCACCAAATAAAAAATATTAAAGACAAATCCAGACTTGTTGGGATGAGACTGTTGCCATTTTTAAAATTAGTTACTGTTAAACAGAGATAAAATTTGTGGTCGGGTAACTTTAAAATTGAATGTTCATTTAAGAATTTCTAATCACGTGGCTGACCCTCATCTTCATACAGTCAAGTACAGAATGTGGTTGAACTACTGGGAGTCATCCTTTTCCATTCTCTCCCTTCTCTCCCCAGATACAGGAAGGAAAAAAAATTGGAAGCAAGTAGCTCATCCCCTTACCCCTTTTCTCGACCCTCTTACCCTATTAGGTGGTCCAAATAGGCATATATCTTTCTCGACTATGTAACCATCATCAAAAATAAAATATATCTATTTTTTTAAGCATTTCTAAGCTCTAGGAATCCTTAATTCTTTTGTTAGCCTTCTCCTGTAATTTCTCCAGGCCTTTCTGAAGACTGTCTTGGAAAGGGTCCTATCAATAAATTTGTACATCCTTTAAGTAGAGAGGGTTGACTTTAGGGATCTTTTGTGACTTCAGTTTCCTTGTTGCAGCTGTGAAAATTTCTTTAAGAGATCCTCATCTGGTTACAGGACAGAACACAGCACGGTGAGCTCCACATGAGACTGAGAATCAACAGCTGAGACTGTCATTTCCCCGGGCTGGCAATCCTCACCTATGCTGAGGAAATATTAGCTGTTAGTTGCAAGTTGGTCCTTTAATAAAGGACATTTGTAAGAACTTAGCTTGTGTTTACGAATACTTATTAAAAATCACTAGACTTTTAGAAATTCAATTCTGCTGGTAAATTTCACATTGCCCTAATCTACTCCAGACAACATTTCCCTCATACCTATCCCTGCTTCCTTTTTTGCTTTTTTTATTAATTTTTCAGATCATTGAGCTGAGAACTCCATGTGAGATATGCTTCATATCTTTCTGCTAATGAGGATTTCCATGAAAAACAAGCAGAAAGCAAGCAAAGGAAGCACACAGTGTTAAAAGTTTATTCTATCTACCTTTGCTTCTTAGGAACTAGATGACTTGTACTGCTTGGGAGTTATTGTTCTGTTCTAACTAGAATTCCAGGAGTCTGAAAAGATGCCTGTGTCTTCACAGTTAGTATCATCTATAGTTTTGAACCATTAAATTCCATTGTATGGAAATACTGGAAAGTGAAATGTGTTTCTTGGTGTAGCTGTTAGCTATCCAGAATTTATAATGACTAATTTGAACTTGAATTTGTAATTCCTTTTATCAGAGAATACTTTCTGATCTTCAAGCATTAATGTCTTCTTCTTCAGAGCTGAAGACATTGATTATAGATATGCTTTAGGTACACTTAAGAAAGAAAAAAAAAAACTCTGCTAATTAAACTGCAATTAAATATGTAATGGCAGCCCAACTGTTCCACCCTCTATGGTTTTGATATTGCTTTTGTTTGTTCTGAAGGATGTAACACTTTCCTACTGGTGGGAGTAGTAATTTGACCAATAATAATCAGTCGTTTTGTGCGTCTCAGTTACCACCTGTACTTCGAGGGATTGCCTGTTCCCGGGTCTCATGGAGCATTCAGTTATTCCTTTACCAGAAGACAGAAAAGTTGCATTATTCTTTCAGTGTTCTATATTTGCTTCTTTATTATCAGATTGCATTCTCCTATTGTGTGTTCCAGCATTCTACCATATAAGATCACTTTGCATTTTAATATCAAATTATCAAATAATATCAAAGTTAATATACAAATTATATATGTATAATAACAGCAATATAGGCACATCATGCACAATGTCAAGGTCGTAATGGTATACAATAGCTATGTCTTAAGTTTGGGAGTTTTAAGGCAATGACAGCTACTTCACAACTCCCAGTTAGCCACCGATGACTATAAAGTGTTATTATTACTAACCAGAAGACATGCCGACTTTAGAGATGTTAAAATGTGAAGGAAAGTACATTTTTTAATTCATTATACATGGAATAATCCACAGACTGCATTTGTAAAGTAGCCTAGCATTGATAAAAAAAAAATGTGTGTGTATATATATATATATATATATATCATGTTGACTTTCCATGTAAAATGATGCCACTTTTGTTCAGCTCTGGGCAAGTACTTTAAGAGTCTTTGATGAGGTTTGGCATAGGTTAAGAGAATAAAATCCAGAGCCATACACACTGGATTTAAATCTTCGCCTGATCTTAGCCAAAAGGCCAAGAAACGATTGGATTTAAATCTTCTTTATTATCAGTGTGAGCTTGCAAAGTTAATATGCCCCAATTTCCTTCTGTGTAAAATACATTATTCATTTCTGAAAGGTGTTTCTATATGGGCTTAAAATTGTACCTGGCAAATCGTATGTGCTCAGTAAGTGTTTCCTATAATTATTACTTAGAGGCGCTATGATAGACCTGTCCCTCCTGCAGAACATACTGGACCATGGGTTGCAGAAGAGCTAATCACAAACTACCAAAAAGGAGACTGTTTCCTCATCTCCTTTTGTGAATGTGAGGCTCCAGGCCATAGGGAATTGGGCATTTAAATCGCCCTCAACATGGCTGTATCCTGCCAATAATCAGAATCATTCAGCCACCACTCAAATCTACTCTAGCAGAATGGCTAGATTCTAAACCTCAGGCTTTTTGGTAGTAGGAAATTGCTCCTTATATCTAACACATATCTTTTCAGCTAATTCTGAATATATCAGTATCTTCTTGAGTCATTAGCAAAAAATTTAAAAGCAGTGGTTGCCATACAATCCAATAAAATGGTTTACCATGCTAGTTTTATTTCCAGTCCAGATACAAGCTCTATCAAATACACTGATATTGTTTGAAAACAACTGTATCATTCTAATCTACAAAAGCTTTAAATAAGCTGTTTGGATAGAGAGTAAGTAAATATTCACATTCTCCTTTGTCTTCCTTAGTAGAACAGTTGAAGAATTCAGACACGCTGCCAGTATATGATACCCTAATGTTTTGTGCAAGTAAGAATACTGACCGGATTCACCTGTATACTAAGGTAAGCATCATGCAGATTTTGTATCTTGAGACATTAGACTAAAACTTTCCTCTTATTCTGTAATAGACATTTAATTTTACTTAGAATGAGATATATACAGTTCTCTGTAGAGCAAATTCTCCAATTCCTATGTTAAGTCTACAGTCAATGAGAAGCAAAACAGCATAGTTATGGAGGAAATAGAAATCACAACCAGACTGTAATCCAAATCTGTTACTGTCCGCATCCTCCAAAACACATTATTTTGAAATTCGCTGTGCTTCAGTTTCTTCAACTGCAGCATATGGAAAGGATTTGTTACCTGAATGAAATGAACCAAGTCTGAGAGAGCACCGAGCACTGTTCCAGGCCACAGTGAACTCAAAGTAGATAATAGCTCCTGCCTTGGTCATTTGTAGCCCAGCCCTTTACAGAAACAGAAACCTGCCTATCCCATGATGAATACGCTGGAAGTTTCTGTAGTACGAGGAAGTCTTTGAAAAGCATATAGAAAAATGGAATTAAAAGATAAGCTTACGTCAGTGCAAAAAGCCTTGAAATATTTGTGTAACTTTTTAAACGCTTATTCATTTATTTGAAAGAATTAAAGAGAGAAGAAGAGACAGAAAGAGAGAGATCTCTTGTTCTCTGATTCATAAAAGGCCAGCGCTAAGAGCTTAGAACTCCATTCAGGTTTCCACATGAGTGCAGGGACCCAGCATTTGGGCCATCTTTCCCTGTGTTCTCAGGTACATCACCGGCAAGTTGGATCAGAAGTGGAGTAGCAAATTCCCCAGCTGGTATCAGGTGTGGCAGCTTAAACAGCTGCCACATAAATTTATTTTCATTTTATTTTCCACACTTTTTAATCTTTTTCATTTGATTGCTCAGATTCCTGCCATGGCCTTGGTTACTGAAACTCAGACTTTTGAGTTTTAAAACTTCTGTGTACCCCCCAAATTGTTGCGGACCTCAAAGAACTTGTTTAAATGGGTTATACCTATTGATATTTATCACTTATGTGCCTGAGAAAGTAGAGACAAATGGCCCAAGACCTGAATGAAGCTCCTGGCTCCTGACTTCAGCCTGGCCTGGCCCCAACAGTCATTTGGGGAGAGAACCAGTGGATGAAAGGACTCAATTTTTAAAGTAAATAACAAATATTTAAAATATTACCAGTACTACTAACCAAGGAGCAGATGGCTAAGATCATGACAACCAAAATCCTCCATCAGTTTCCACATGGGATCCCAGCTGAGAGACAGCAAGACCCAAGCCAGGCAGTAATCCATGCACCTGCCCTTAATGTGTATAGACCCCAGGCCACACACCGCAGAGCCTGGAGATGCAGTGAGCTAGCCCAGGGGAGCATCAAAGACTGCTTAGTACATCTGCAGGCAGACCTGAGGGCCTGTGAGGAGGAGGATCTCCAGGCTGTGGTCCTGCGGCCATCACACAAGAGGAACAGATGCGGGACTTGAGGTAGAGGAACCAAGAGGAAGGTACCAGAAATTTGGAAGCTGTTAAACTCTTTCAACTATTTAAACAGGAAAATCTCTGTTTCTTGGAAGAGCTAATTGGTGTTTTTCTCCTTGGGGTTTTCACAAGGAGAAAGGTTGCAAAATTTTTGGTGGAAGATGAGATGGGCTTGTATCCAAACAGCAGCAAAGCCTCGCTGACCCATATTCTGGCTCTGCCTCCTGCCCTATGTGGCATGGGGCCACTTCACCTAGTTGGCATCACTGTCAATAGTTTAAAATGTGTTTTTATGACTGTTCTTTAATGTGTATGTACATGTATGTGTGTGTGTGTTTACATATGTCCCTTTAGTTTTTTGAAAATTTATTTCATTCATTTGAGAGACAGAGTTAGAGAGAGAGGGAGGTAACTTCAATATGTTAGTTTGTTCCTCAAATAGCCACAGTGCTGACTGAAGCCAGGAGCTTGTTCTGGTCTCACATGTCAGCGCATGGAACCAGGCATTTGGGCCAACTTCTACTGTTTTTCCAGACCGTTAGCAAGGAGCTGGATCGGAAGTGAGGCAGCCAGACTTAAACCAGAGCCCATATGGGATTTCAGCACTAAAGACAGAAGGTTTATGGATTACGCCACAGCACTGGCCCCAATATGTCCCTTTACGTACAGTGTTACATGTCGTGTTCTAAACATGTGAAACTAAGCAGATGAAATGTTGACTTGTCTGTTCACAGCTGGAGTAAATTAGAGAGAAGTTTTCCTTTTTTCCCTAAAAGATCAGAAGTAACAAGTAGAAATAAAAATCTGGATCAAATGTACTGCCTGAAGTCGTACCTCTTAAAAAGAAGCAGCATTCCGTATCATTTTAGAACTCTTAATTCAGCCACGATCCCAAGTCAGAGTCATCAATTAGAAGTATATATTACAGTGACATAACTAAACTTTTAATCAGTTTATAACAGTTTCCGTGTGTTTTTCTTTTCCAAAGTGATTGTCAAAGCTATAAAATTTATTTTTCCTCTAAGAGAATTAGAATATGATTTAACTACTGTCGATGTAATACATTTCACATGAGATGGTCTCCTTTTTTCTTTATAAAAGAAATAATCTCGGGCCCGGCTGCATGGAGTAGCGGCTAAAGTCCTCGCCTTGAACGCGCTGGAATCCCATATGGATGCCGGTTCTAATCCCTGCAGCTCCACTTCCCATCCAGCTCCTTGCTTGTGACCTGGGAAAGCAGTCGAGGACGGCCCAGAGCTTTGGGACCCTGTACCCGCGTGGGATACCCGGAAGAGGTTCCTGGCTCCTGGCTTCAGATTGGCGCAGTACCAGCCATTGAGCTTACTTGAGGAGTGAATCATCGGACGGAACATCTTCCTCTCTGTCTCTCCTCCTCTCTGTGTATCTGACTTTGTAATAAAAAAAAAAAATAATAATAATCTCTGCTGTGTAATGTACTATACTCTTGAACAGGGTTTCTTTTTTTTTTAAGATTTATTTATTTATTTATTACAAAGTCAGATATACAGAGAGGAGGAGAGATAGAGAGGAAGATCTTCTGTCCAATGATTCACTCCCCAAGTGAGTGCAACAGCCGGTGCTATGCTGATCCCAAAGCCAGGAGCCAGGAACTTCCTCCAGGTCTCCCACACAGGTGCAAGGTCCCAAGGCTTTGGGCTATCCTTGACTGCTTTCCCAGGCCACAAGCAGGGAGCTGGATGGGAAGTGGAGCTGCTGGAATTAGAACCAGCGCCCATATGGGATCCTAGGGTGTTCCAAGGCAAGGACTTTAGCTGCTAGGCCCTAGCACTGGGCCCTACCTTTACGTTTTGTAACAATGAACAGGAATGTCAGTCCGTTTTGGAGAGAGCAATTCAGACTATTTTTTTGATGACCTTGTTTGATATGAGACATTTTTTGTGATGATTAGAAAGAAGCTTATCATTGGGGGAGTAGTTTGCTACTGTTGATTTTAAGGATCTACTCTTCTGTAATGATTTGTAATGTACAAATTTTATTGTTTTGATATTTATTCCAAAGATTAGGCAATGGAGAAGAGCATGCCTAGATATTTGAGGCTATAAGCAGAAGGCTTGGCCTGCCTGTGGGCACTGGTGAAAGATGGGTCATAGTGGAAAGCCCACCTTGCTCAACTCCAAGTCCCTTCAGGGGATCCATGTTGAGTGGACTGGTCTACAGTATGCCACCCTGATTTATCTTTTAGGAAACTGGGCTTCTAATTTGTTATATTCTTCTAAAATAGTTACAACAGACAAAAATGATTGAATTCTGTTTTCCTAATCTTTTATCAGGACAGAAAACCGATGAAGTGTAATTTCATACCTTTGGAAATAAAATTAGACCTTTGGGAAGATTTACCAGCAAGCTTTCAGCTGAAACGAAATCGCTCACTGGTAAGAATAGTTTCAATAAAATGCTTTGATGTGTTTTAAATAAAAAGGCTGAAGTAATTTTAATGATCATTTTGAGTTTAATAAAAGAGCACTTTGTGTTCTGTTGCAGTCACATCACTGGTGGCATTTTCATCTGTCTAGGCGGTACCTATTAATTACCCCATTGCTAAGAATAAATGTGAAATCTGTTTCCTTGGAGAGTGATCACACCTAGAGTTGCTGTTTCTGCAGATAGAATCATTCTTACCTCATTTGATTTCTTCTTCACAAGATTAGCAGCTGCGATGTTTGTATCTGACAGAATCACATTTTATCGGTTCGGGCTAAGTATTAACAGTGACAAATTGGTACAGCAGGGTTGATACCATGTTGAGGGATTCTCACCTCGTGGTCTGAGGCACCAGTGGATTGCAAAGGCCAAGTGCCTGCTAGGGAGGCCTTCATTCTCATCTGTGACTAATTTACCATCTCTGGTAAAAAAGGATCATCATGTACATTGCCAGCATGCATTTTTTTTTTTTTCGCAAGAAAATAGTGACTTTTTTAATCCCTTGAGTAGGAATGAAGCACTGTCCACAGATCAGCCTCACTTGTCTTAAAGAAAAAGCTTAGCTGTTTTCTTCAGTACCATCTATTCCTGACTCTATGAGTCCCAGGAAATAGCCTTTTTCTTTTAAGACAGGCTTTTTTCCCTGTGACAACTTGGGCATCAGATACAAAGTAGTCCTCAGAGCCTAGACTGGCACCATGTCACCACTGCAAGACCTGCTGTCCCCAAGACCAGTTTTGTGCCAGCCACTCAGGAGTACCTGCTTCCAGATGTCCTTGAGTCTCAGTGGGCACAACCTCATTCGTGGGCGCCATGCACATGCAAGGCACACACCACAGACCTCTAGAAAATCTTTGGATGGAAAGAGATATCTGGAGAACTGGCCATGAACCATTTAAATAAAGATACGGACACTGCACAAAACTAAAGAAAGCCTGACGTTAAAGAATTAGAAGCCTGTTTTGGGTGGGGGGTTGTAATAAACCGTCAGTTTTCTTGTGTTGTAAAGAGCTGTCTTTCAAAGGAGGACATCTGGTGAGCTGTTCACTCTATATTTCCTCATTCTCTACCAGATTTTAAGGTTTGTTCGAGAATGGAGCAGCCTGACTGCGATGAAACAAAGGATAATCAGGAAAAGTGGGCAGCTGTTCCGGAGCCCCATCCTTGCTTTGGAAGAAATCACCAAGCAACAACCCAAACAAAGCAGTACCAAGAGGTGCACACTGCCATTCTCTCTGTATTTAGTGTTGTGCTGTTTCTCACAGTTATTTCCACAAAGGGTCTAACTTATCTTACAGAACCACTAATGAGATCCTAGTAAGATAAGAGGGAATTACGTTTAAAATCATAACTACATTACTTCATAGTAATATGGCTAGATAGTTAGTGAATCTGATCAAATCCATTGGCAATGATCAGGCTTTCCAGGTCTTACTTATGGTCAGAGAACATCCAGTGACTGGCCAAGCCTATGGCATGCTAAATCATGGAAAGCAGGGAAGCAGTCCTCTCCTCACACATCAGAACATGCCCTTGGGCCCCCGCCGTCCTACTGTGCCCTGCTGTGGCATAAGCGTTGGGCAGATGGTTCTGTTTGAATGCACTACTATCCAAGTAATAGGAAGTCACTATGCCATCACTAATCTGAAAATCCAAGTGCTAAAATGCTCTGAAATCAGAATCAACTTGTGTGTCATTGATGCTCAAATAGGTTTGAATTTCAGAGCAATTTGGATTTTCAGGTTAGTATTTTTAAGCTGGTAAAAATCTGTTCATATCCCCAAATTTGAAAAATTCTAAAGTCGGTTGATCCCAAGTATAGCAGATAAGATATGCTCAACCTGTTTTGTCTTGTCCATGTTTAGAAAGAAAAAGAGAGGAGGGGAGTGTAGAAGTGGGGAAGGAGAGGAGAGGAGGAGGGGAGGAGAGGTGGAGAGCACACATTTTGGACAGTTGTGTCTCATCTTTTCAGGTCCTTTTCTTAGCTCCATACCTTTACTTTCCCATTCTTAATACCACAGCACAGAGATAAGACATGGCAAAACAACAAACCGAACAACAGTGTTGGCAGAGAAAGCACTTTTGCATTTATTGTCTCCAAGTGTCTGTCATCTCTTGTCCTTGTCACGTTCCATCACTTTAAGGCATCTTTTCTCAAGCTTTTTTTTTCTTACAAACAGATGAAAAAAAATCATCCATGATGGTGGTGAGGTTGCAGGTGAGCATAGCTGTCTAATATTTCTTAGGAATTTCTTAGGAATTTCTTAGGAACATGGTTCCCATACAGTGGGAATCTCCAGGTGTTTCAAAGCATGACATGAAATACGTTTGTGAGAAAAAAGAACAGTACCTGTGATCAGTTTAAACAGTGATAAAGAAATAAATATATAGTAGCTGTTACTTATACAGAAATTGTTAGGATTCCTTAAGAACTCTTCTCAGGAATTTCTTAGGAAGGTGGTTCTCAGTTGGAAATAGTTTCACCCCAGGGTTTCCATGTATGGAGACATTTCTGAGTTGTACAGTAAGAGGATACAACTGAGAATCTCATGGGCACAGGTCCAGGATGATGCTGAGAAATCCAGCAGTGAATAGGACTGGACACTCCAAGAACTGTCACAAAATGTCTCCTAATGCCAATGTTGAGAAATCTTGTTCTGTGGTTTAAGATTAGGGGCTCTCCATCTCTCTGAACTTTGACTTTCAAAATAAATAAGGCTAAAAAGAAGGAAGGAAGGAAAGGGAAGGGAAGGAAAGGAAAGGGAAGGTAAGGGAAGGAAAGGAAAGGAAAGGAAGGGAAAGGGAAAGGAAAAGGAAAAGGAAAGGAAAGGAAAGGAAAGGAAAGGAAAGGAAAGGAAAGGAAAGGAAAGGAAAGGAAAGGAAAGGAAAGGAAAGGAAGAGAAGAAATGGAGCTGCAGGACACGACCTGGCACCTATATGGGATACTGGCATCACATTCAGTGGCGTTACCTACCACATCACAATGGCAATCCTCAATAATGTACATTTCCATGAACTTTCAAACATGACATGAAAAAAAAAACTTTTTAATGTTTATTTTATATATTTTCAAGTATAGAATTATAGAGAGGTCTCCCACCTGCTTGCTTACGCCGCAAATGGCACAACAGCTGGGGCTGCACCAGGCCAAACTCAGGAGCCAGGAATTTCTCTTGGGTCTCTCACATTGGTGCAGATGCCCAAGTGCTGCTCTTCTAGGTGCATTATTAGGGAGCTAGATAAGGACCAGAGCAACGGGCACTTAAACTGGCACCCAAATTGGATGTTGGCACTCCAGGTGGCAGCTTAACCCATTATGTCATACTGGCAGATTTATCTTGTTTTATTGGAAAGGCAGATTTGCAGAGAAGGAAATATATAGAGGAAGATCTTCCATCTGCTGGTTCATTCCTCCAGTGGCTGCAGCTACTGTAGCTGAGCTGATTCAAAACCAGGAGCTTCTTCTGGGTATCCTGCATGGGTGCAGTGTCTCAAGGCTTTGAGTTCCCAAGCCATTAGCAGGGAACTCATAGAGCAGCTGGGACATGAACCAGCACCCATATGGGAACCCGGCACATGAAAGGTAAGGTTTTAGCCACTGAGCATTGTGCCAGGCCTGGCTCCTAAACTTTTACATGTGTTTTTTTCATGAACTTTCTGAAATATCTGTGTAAACATGTGTGAATTGGTTTATATATATATATATACACACACACACACAAATCTACATGTAAATATACACACAGATATTGATGGAAAGGTACATACTTATATTCTCAATATTTCTTCTGGTTTTCTGTTTTCTTCATTGCATCCTCACTCTTAGTTGAAAGATTGATTTTTCCCCTTTCTTATTTGATCTCAATAAACTTCATACCAGAAAGTTAAGCCTAGTCCAGCCATTTCTGAACATGTCTCACTATTTTACGCCACACATGGATGACCACTTAAAATATGAGCTGAGAAAGATGATCAGTCATGTGTAAAAGCAGACGTGATTCATAAAATTAATAGAACCTACAGTCAGATTTACAGTGTTATCTCTAAAAGTATATGTAGAAAATGTATTAAGGATATAACTTGTGTTAATAAGTAGTAGATTAAATAATCAAATCTATTCCGTCTTAGCTAATTGCTTCTTAGCTATCACTTCTGTTTTGGCTTCGATCAAGTGTAAATAATCAGGTTGTTTTTTTTTTTAGATTTATTTGAAAATCAGAGAGGAAAAGAGAGAGAGAAATGTTCTATCTCTTGGTTCACTCCCTAAATGGTCACAATGGCCAAGGCCAGACCAGGCCATAACCAGGAGCCAAGAGCTTCCTCCAGATCTCCCATATTGGTACGTGGGCCATCTTCCACAGCTTTTCCCAGGTCCCCAGTAGAGAGCTGTATCAAAATGCTGCAGCCTAGATATGAACTGGTACCTATTATAAGATGCCAGCATCTCAGGTGGTGACTTTACCTGCTACACCACAATAGCAGCCCCCAGATCTTTAAGAGCCACCTGGCCAAGGCTGGGAAATTACAAAACAGCTCTGTTATCTCACTGTTCTGTAAGGCAGAAGTCCAAGTTGCCTCTTGTTGGCTTCTTTGCTCTGGAACTCACAAGACTGAGTTCCAAGGGGTTGATCAACCTTAATTGATAGGCTTAGGTAAGAATCCACTTCCAAACTCATTCAGATTGTTAGCAGAATTCATTTCCTTGTGGTGGTAGCACTGGGTTCCCAATGCTTGCTGGCTGTCACCCAGGGGCCATCATCAACTCCTCCGCATATGATCTGAATACAAGTGCCCCGTCCTCTCTGGGTATGGCAGGGTACTTTTTATAGCTCTGCCTTCCTCTTCTGCTTTCAAAGGCTCCCGTGATTACATAGGTCCCATCCAGCAATCCCCATCATTTAAGCTCAGCTGATTAGTAACCTAATTGCTAAAAATATCTAACCTAATACATGTAAGGTCCCTTTATAGCATGATCTAAATTAGTCATTGTTTAAAAAGCAGGAATCCTGTGGGGAACAAGGGCAGGTATCTTAAAAATTCAGCCTACTATACAACTTTAAAACTATTGAAAGTAGAACTGGAAAAAAAATTATGAAGATTTATTTTAAGGCATTAGGGATGGGAATGAAGGAAAGAAGTTGAAGAGAGGAAGTATATCTAAAAGTATCTAGAAACTTGGTGACTGATTAGTCAGGAGGTCTCCAGGGAAACCAAACTCAGGGGACCCTTGGATTTTTCCTGCAGAGCTCCTCTAGGTGTTTTGGTAGAAACCCCATGTATCTCTGAAAGCAGCTTAGAAGCGTGAGGCTGTTAGGAATCTGTTAGATTCACTGGTTAGGCACTGAATCCCTTTCCTTCTCACTGTCCTGTCAGTTGACTCTGTAGAAGAAAGAAATACAAAGAGTCTCCAGATTTGGAAAGACCAGCTTCAGAGGAAAGGCGTTATTCTGAAAACTCAAAACTCCCCTTACTCCATTCTGTTTGCAGAATACTCCCAGCCACATTTTGCTTCCTAGCCAGGAGTGGGGAAGATTCATATCATAAGATAAGCTCCAAAAGAAGACGTTGATACTAACTTTGACGATTCCCCTAAAAGCAATGGCTGGTGTCCAACCAGATTATCCTCTGGTGATGTTCAACAGGTCAGAGGTCCCATTCAAACGCAGAGCTTGCAAGCAAGCAGCTTTTGAGTGGCTCACCCTTGGTTGTGAATGGGACCCAAACTACCAACCATTGTCTTGCTTCCCAAGTGAGTTCCACTTCTCAGAGGCAGGCCTGAGTCATTTGCAGCCCTGTCATGTTTAGGAGAGAACATTTATTATCCTCTACAACAGCTTTTTTTCCAAAGCCCATCAGCAACCCAGAAGCTTTTTTTGTGTTCAGCAGTGTTGGCCATTTGCCAACGCACTGTCTTCTCTTGTTGCAGAAATTGCCACCCTCCATTCCCATCTCTAATCTAGAAATTAGTAGTCAATGTTCTCCCTTCTTGATTTGCCAAAGTTAGGATTTACCATAATCCTTTTGAGAGTTGTTGGTGTATTTACATGAGCTTCCTAGCTAACCCCAGTGGAAAATTAAATACTGGCAACTTTCTACTCAATTTGAAAAGTTGTCAACTCCCTTCTTTGGGATTGATGGACCTGTTGTTTTTTTGTGTATGTGCTTATATATGTGGTTTCCAAAAACTTGTACTTAAACTTCTTATAGGAAAGTCAGAAGTTATTTTTGGTTCCTAAATCTCTGGCTAGATTCCTCAGCATTTTTTAAAATTGCTGAACTCACTTTCTAAGCTTTTAAACATTGAATAATACCTAAGGCAAGACTTAACATTCCATCACCCCGCGATGCTAGGAAGCATTTGAGTTCATTTAGGATCCTCAAAAATACTTTAGCAAACTACTTTTTGTCAAGAGAATAAAATGGTTGAAGAAATTCATGAGTGGGATGGGCAGATGCAGAGGAAGTGGAAGTTTAGGAACGAAAAGACTAAGTTCTAAGTTCAAAGAATTCAGTACGATTTAACTGGAGTTTTGTTTTGTTTTTGCTTTGAGATGCACACTGGAAACAGAAGGAAATGAAAAGATGTCCTCCTTTATATTTAATAAGAAAAATACAAATGTAAGACTAATGAAGTGCTTATCAGTGTTAAAAGAAATTTAAAGAAAAAAAAAATGTGCCTATTTACTTATTTTACTTGGAGAGAGAGAGAGAGAGAGAGACAGGCAGACAGAAAGAGATCCCACCGCTTATTTACCTCCCAAATGTCTACCCCCCTGACCAAAACCAAGAACTTGAGCCAGGTCTCTCCCATAGGTGGCAGGGACTCGAGTACCTGAGTCAGGCTGCCTCCCAGAGTCTGTGTCATTAATAAACCGGATGAGGAGCCAGGTACTTCAGCAGAAACAGGATCCTAAGCAGAGCAACTAGTACTCAAAGCAGCACTCTCCAAGGGGGTGCCAGTGTTCAGCATTGACTTAACTTGCTATGTCACAATGCTATTAGTTTTTCTGTTGTTGTTGTTTTGTTTTAAGTCAAATTTATGCAGTGAAAGTGAGACAGAGAAAGATCTTCCATCCACTGATTCACTCCCCAAATAGCCACAACAGCCAGAGCTGATCCAAAGCCAGGAGCCAGGAGCTTCTTCCAAGTCTCCCACATTAATTCAAGGTCTCAAAGGTTTGGCCCATCCTCTCCTGCTTTCCCAGGCTACAAGCAGGGAGCTAGAAGGGAAGTGGAGTAGCCGGGATACAAACCGGCTTCCATATGGTTCCTGGGCGTGCAAGGCGAGGACTTCAGCCACTAGGCTACCATTAGGTTGTTATTGTTAGTCATTCCTCAATGGTTCTTAAAGGATCAGACATCAGAATCACACATTAGGAGTTTTAAGTAAACACATGGGCTGTCAGTTTATTGAAGCTATATATACATTTTGCATCTGTGTTTCAAGTCCCAGGTAGAAGAAAATACTATTTTGCACAACTTTTGGTCACCTCTTACATTTTTTAAGGATTTATTTATTTTTACTGGAAAGCCACAATGCAGAAAGGAAAATCTTCCATCAGCTGATTCACTCCCCAAGTGTCCGCAACAGCTGAGCTGCTCTGGTCTGAAGCCAGGAACCAGGAGCTTCCTCCGGGTCTTGCATGCAGGCCCAGAGTCCCAAAACTTTGGGCCATCCTCAACTGCTTTCCCAGGCCACAAGTAGGGAGCTGGATGGGAAGTGGGGCTGGCTGGGATTAGAACCAGTACCCATGTGGGAGCCCAACATGTGCAAGGTAAGGACTTTAGTTGCTAGGCTACCACACTGGGCCCACCTCTTGTGCTTTTGTAAGTTCATCCTGTAAAACCATTTCTGCTGAGAAATTACCTTCCATCATTACTTTGAAGAATTATGCTGCAAAAGAGCAGATATTTTAAAAACTCCTGTGGGCCCGGCATAGGTAGAGTAGCGGTTGGGGTCCTCTCCTTGAATGTGCCGGGATCCCATATGGGTGCCGGTTCTGATCCCAGCAGCTCCACTTCCCATCTAGCTCCCTGATTGTGGCCTGAGAAAGCATTCAAGGATGGCCCAGAGCATTGGGACCCTGCACCCATATTGGAGACCTGGAAAGAGGTTCCTGGCTCCTGGCTTCGGGATCAGTGCAGCACTGGCCATTGCAGCCACAAACTTCTGTGAAATGTGTGTAAGCCACTTTAGAAACCTGAGCAAACTGTTTAAAATGACTTCAGAGTATCAGGGTTGAGCAACTCCCTAAGTCACCCACTGCTCTTTCTTAGTCCCAGATTAGAGCTACCTAAATATTATCACTTAGTTCTCTGTAAACTGTATCCCTGTTTTGAAAGTTTCTTTTTTTTAAGTCATAATACATTTCTTAATCTAGAATCACTGCTTGACTTATAATTGTTTGTAAAAATCAGAAAGTGCTAATGGTTGGCCAGCCCCATGCCATGGTGCCCTAGGTGAAGACAAGCCAGCCTTGCTATATGATGAACCAAAATCCCATTGCGCAAGGCTTCAAGCAATGAGAACAGCCGTAACAAGGTTATCATTCATTTTCAAAAACAGAAGGTATCATGAGGAGTAAATGTTAGAAATTAGTTTCTATGTTTTGCTTTCGTTGATTTTCAAAAGCGAAAGTTATATTCAAGAATAAGTGCTAATAGGTGCAGGTTTCTTGAGGGGTGATGATAGTGTTCTGAAATTAGATCGTGCTAATGCCTACACAATCTTGTGAATATCCTAAAATGCACTGAATTGCAAACTTTAAGTTGGACTATTTTATGGTTTATTAACTATGTGTCAATAAAAATAGAAAACTAAAAGATGTATATCTATGTTCAGAAAAAATGAATTTTGTATATATTTATTGTGATAGGGAGAGATCTTACATCTGCTGGATCTCTCCCTGATTTCCCATGATAACTAGCGCTGAGGCAGGCGAAGCCAAGAGTCTGGGGCCGCTCTGGGGTCACCGTCGTGGGTGGCGGGCACCTGAGTACCTGCGGCATCCTCTGCTGCTTTCTCAGGAGCAGTCACAGGAAGCTGGTCTGAAGTGGAGGAGCCAGAACTCAAACTGGAATTCTGATATGGGAAGTGGCTTATTGTCAACTTGAAAATAAGTTCTTTTTAAGAAAATTTAACAAAAACGTTTGTAACGGGGAACTTTGACAACAACGGACAAGATGAGGAACGAAGGGGACCAAATCCACCTCATCACAAAGAACATAAAGGAAACATTTTGAATTTTACCTATAACTGCACAATTCCATTATGACTGAAGTTTTATTTCTTGTTGTCAAGCTACCAGATGGAGAGACACTCAAAAGCATGAAAACGTATTGAAACTAATTTTTTTTTTTCAAAAATCTACAGTAGCTGTAAGCTACCAGAGAAACTGGGCCATGCTAATTAGAAAGAGTTAATTGGGTAATAGCATTTCACCTACTTAAATTCCCCCATCACCTTTAATTAGAGTACTTTCCTCTTTCCTTCCAATCCCTAAACCTTTACGCAGTTTGATGGTGTTGCATAAGGTTCTAAATCTTGCCCCAAGAGTGGCTTATTTCAGTGAAAGGTCCCATAAACTCTGTAGGGGTTCAGGCAAGTGGGAAGAACCTCGAGATTATACAAGATGTGACAACCTGGTGAACTAAAATGAGAATTATTTTACCCAAACGGGCTGATGTGGTGTTACCTGTAATTGGCTATGATGATTGGGATGTACCTTGAAGGGAAGACCAAGAGGGAGTTAAAAATGTGCTGTAAGACTCTGCAGAGCTTGACAGGCAGTTTGCTTACGCCTGGCAGCTGTGCCTAGATCTGATTATCTCTTAGTCCTGCCCTCATTCATTTGTCCCCCTAAATGAAAATTGGTTCAAAATATTCTGAGTGATTCTTGACTTTGTCAGAAGACATAAATCTTCAGAAAACCTAACTTAGAGCACAAATGTGTTTTCCAGCTACTAGACAACAAGGTAAAGGGAGAGAACTCCATTTCCTAACGCTGGGTACAGTGAATAGAGTAGTCCTTGACTTTCTCTCCTGCTGCTCTCTTCCTCTATGAACATGCAATACAGAAGTTCTTACAGGAGAGACAGGATGCTAATTTAAAGTGCAATGTTTTTTAGGTACATAACCAAAGAAGATGTTGCCAAAGCCTCGATGGACAAGGTGAAGAATGAAGGGGGCTATGTCCGCCTCATCACAAAGGAATCCAGGCCATGGGATTGTTCCCCAAAGTAAGGTCACAGCTCCTTTAAATGCATGCATTAATTATAATAATACCTCATATTTACGTGACTGCTTTACAGATTACAAGGAGCTTCCACAACATAGCTTTCTGAGTCCTGCCAACTCTATTAGGCACATACGTGATCTCTTTATTCTAAAAATGAGGAAGGACCCTGAGACCTTGGAGCCCAAGTGACCCACCCCAGACTGGCAAGATAGATATCAAGAGATTAGAGGTCATATCTAGGTCCTACTCCCTGTTTTAAGCTTTTTGTCTCATGAGGCTTTCTTTTAACCCTCCTGACAAACCACCTGGGAAAACAGGCAAAAAAACTTCACTTTCCAGGTAGGAGTTTTCAACATAAATTGATTAGGGTACCTCTTCTAACACATGTCCTATTTTAGTTCCCTGTGGGAGACAATACTTATCCATCTGCTGGTCTTGTTTCCATCAGCGCACTCAGCTGTTTTACGCTGTCACTTATGGCAGGAAGAGTCTGTTTCCTTTAAACCATCAGGGGCCAGACCAGCTCAGGGTGCACTCATTGGCCTGATGAGGTTTATGGCCTTACATAGTTAGGGGATGGGATAGCACTAAGCTTTAGTGGGGATTTTATTTATTTATTTATTTATTTATTTATTTACACTGTGCATGGAAGGCAGATAGACAGAGATCTTTGATCTGCTGCTTCTCTCCGTAATTGTCCACAACAGCCAGAGCTGGGCCAGACCAAAGCCAGGAACCTGGAATTCATTCAAGGCTTTGTACTTGGGCAGCAGGGACCCAGGTTCTTGAGCCATCACCTGCTGCTTCCAGGAGTGCACCTTAGCAGGATCTGCACTGGAAGTGAGAAGCTGGGACTCAGATGAGACATGCTGATAAGGCTGTGGGCAGCCCAAGCACCAGCTTAAACATGTGCCAAGCACCTGCCTCCAGGTGTTTTATTTCGTGCTTTCCCAGCCCTCAAGAAGCATTTTCTAACTTCTCCAGGTTTATAAGTCTGATTATTTGTGTGTTTTTTTTTAAGATTTATTTTCATTACAAAGTCAGGTATACAGAGAGGAGGAGAGATAGAGAGGAAGATCTTCCGTCCAATGATGCATTCCCCAAGTGGCCGCAATGGCTGGTGCTGCACTGATCTGAAGCCAGGAGCCAGGAACTTCTTCCAGGTATCCCACATGGGTGCAGGAACCCAAGGCTTTGGGCTGTCCTCGACTGCTCTCCCAGGCCACAAGCAGGGAGCTGGATGGGAAGTGGAGCTGCCGGGATTAGAACCAGTGCCCATATGGGATCCCAGGGCGTTCAAGGCGAGGACTTTAGCTGCTAGGCCCCAGCACCAGGCCCATAAGTCTGATTATTTGACATAAAGGCATGAAGTTCCCAAGAGGCAGCATATTTGTATTCAAATTGACATTTTTCTTTTTAATTCTTAACTCTGCTTCATTTGGCCTATACTGCAGAGTGTTGACCAGACCCATTTTACTTCCACACTGGCTTACAAAATCTGTGGGCCTTTTATCTACAGATTCTTAACCGGGAAACTTTTAAGACATTTATACGAAGCAGTGATTATTACACTAAGTGTTCATTAGTTACCTACTCAGTGTTTCTTCAAATATAGAAAGTTCCATGAAGATGGAGCCTGTGTCCCGAGTCTAAATCCCTGCGCAGCCCAAGCTGATCTCAATGGAAAGTCTTTTACATCTAAAGGCTATTTGCAAGCTGTGGATACTGAAGGAAATGCGCTGTGTCTCCACTGTCAGCGTCCCACTTGCCAAACGAAGCCGGAGTGCTCAGCAAGCGCCTGGGATGCACGGTTCTGCTCTCTGAAATGTCAGGAAGAGTTTTGGATTCGATCCAATAACAGTTACCTGCGAGCCAAAGTCTTTGAAACAGAACGTGGTGTGTGTCAGCTGTGTAACGTGAATGCCCATGAACTCTTTCTACGACTGAAAGGTGCTCCTGCAAGTCAGAGGAAGGACCTCCTGGATGCCACCTGGTCCTCTACGCTTCCATTAGAACAGGTGATGTGTGTGTGTGGCCCAGAAGGCAGCATGAAGCTGAGGTTTCGATGTTGGCTTGCTAATTTTTTTTCAAGCTTTTTCGTATGGGAATTTCAAAATGGACATTAAAAGTAAAATAATGAACTCACCTTGATGATGTCTCAGGGCTCCTCCCAGACCAGCGCCATTGGTCAGGTCCCTGTGCTGCTAACTTACTTGCTTTTTATTATTATTATTTCTTATTTGAGATGCAGAATTACAGAGAGAGGAGGAGAAGCAGAGGGAAAGAGACATATCTTCCATGCGCTGATTCACTCCCCAAATGACTCCAAGGGTCGGGGCTGGGCCAGGCTGAAGCCAGGAGCCAGGAACTTCTTCCAGGGCTCCCACATGGGTACAGGGCCCAAACACTTGGGCCATCCTCTGCTGCTTTTCTCAGGTGCATTTGCAGGGAGGTAGAAGAGTCAAGTCTCCAACAGGTGCCCATATATGATTCTGGCAAATATATATATATATATATATATATATATATTTGGAGGCTTAACCTACTACCCTACTGCCTTCTTTAAACTTTCTTTAGAAAAGTAATCCCATGTTCCCATGACCAGGAGCCATGAAGTTAATTATACTTTATCCAAGATGAAGAAAATAAGAACAACTGTCATCTTTGTGATATTTAATCAATTGCACTGCCATAGTGTGAATTGCTTTTCCTCCCTCAGGCAGAATGTTATAATACATCCTGGTTTTAGTGTAGGTCTTCACTAGTTAAATATAAGGTGTGTATATATAGACTGGCCTGAATACTGGCTGCTGTAAATGGACATCTTCGTTCATTGCAAATATGCAAGTTCCACAGGTTTGTTCTAGAAATTTCATTCCCGTCTATGCTACTTGTAAAGTTCTCTGATGAACAGAATAAGAATTCTGGGTGATGGCTATTAATATGAAACTGTCATTAGTATAATAAAAATGCATCTAGGTCAATAATTAAAGATTGAATCAGCAATATTAACAAGTTTTGAAATTCTAATCTGTCTTTATTCTTTTTTCTCAGTTTTAACTTAATGAACATAGAAATTAATTCAAAGGTTAAGAAAGAAACATTTTTTATCAATCTGTCTTGGTATTTTATGCTTGCTTTTAAGTCTTTCAAAATGGGTTAAGTAAGGAGAAGGGAAAAAAATACTTTCCAGAAAACATTTTATTGCTTTTAAATTGCTAACCTAGAGGGTTTTTTCTGCTTCAAATAAAAGCTATAAAAAGCCATTCGAACACATTTTTCCCCATGGTTTTGCTGTATAAACATTATTGAACAATGCAAAACCAACAGTTCCTGCAGTGTGTGTGTTGAAAATCGCTGATCCTGTGTTCTTATTGCAGCTAAATGAAATGATTAAAAAGCCGAGCGAAGGACATTTCTGGCAGGTGGATCACATCAAGCCGGTGTATGGGGGCGGAGGGCAGTGCTCGCTGGACAACCTGCAGACTCTCTGCACGATCTGTCATAGAGAGGTCAGTGGCGCTTGTGGACAGCCTGGACTGCAGCCCAGGGAATGAAATGGAAACTGGTACAGGGATCTGGAAGTCAGTAGGTACCTTTTGTCATCCAGCACTTGCCTGTTGCTCCAGGCCAGTGTGGATTCTCAGACACAGAGGCAAGAGAAACTGTCTCTCTTTTTGTTCATGCAAGACATGTTCACCATGTAGAAATAACGGGGATAACTTCTACACTGCACGATCTTGAAAGACCTGGACATAAACAAGGTTTTGTGAATTGGGGTAGTGACACATCGTTGTATATTTGTTTATGCCTAAGGATGTCCTGAAATAATTGATCAGTTATCTCAACAGTCAACTCAGCTGAGCATGCAGAAATTATGCTGCTGGCCATATACACTGCTTGACTCATCTCTAAGCATTTATTGTAGCTTAAAATGACAGAGAGAAAAACGAAACTATGTGGTTTTGCTTATCTACTAGGATTCATTTTTTTTTAAATAATTTATTTATTTTTATTTGAAACACAGATTTACAGGAGAGACAGAGAGCGAGATCCTCCATCCGTTGGTTCACTCCCCATATGGCCTCAATGGCCAGAGTTGAGCCAACCCAAAGCCAGGAGCCAGGAGCTTCCCCAGGGTGTTTCGTTGTGTGTGTAGGGATCCAAGGACGAAAGCCATCCTACAATGCTTTCCCAGTCCATAAACAGGATACTGGATCAGAAGTGGAGCAGCCCGGACTTGATCTGGCAGCTATATGGGATGCTAGCGCTGAAGGCAAAAAAGTAAGCTGTTGAACCACTACAGCAACCCCCAAGATTGATTTTTTAAAAAAATATTTATCTAGGGCCCGGCGCTGTGGCGCAAGTGGTTAAAGGTCCTCGCCTTGCACGCCCGGGATCCCATATGGACCCCGGTTCTAATCCCGGCAGCCCCGCTTCCCTTCCAGCTCCCTGCCTGTGGCCTGGGAAAGCAGTCGAGGACAGCCCAAGGCTTTGGGAACCTGCACCCGCGTGGGAGACCCGGAAGAGTCTCCTGGCTTCGGATCGGCATGGTATCGGCCCGTTGCGCTCACTTGGGGAGTGAATCATCGGATGGAAGATCTTCCTCTCTGTCTCTCCTCTGTATATCCGCCTTTCCAATGAAAAAATAATAAAAATAAATCTTTAAAAAAAAAATATTTATCTATCTTTATTGGAAAGGCAGAAAAAGATCCTCCATCGCAGGTTCACTTCATGAATGACCGCAATGGCCAGAGCTGAGCTGATCAGGAGCCAGGAGCATCTTCCAGGTTTCCTACTGGAGGCAGAGTCCCAAAGCTTTGGGCCATCCTCTACTGCCCTACCAGGTCACAAGCAGCGAGCTAGATGGGAAGTGGAGTAGCCAGGACATGAACCAATGCCCATATGGGATCCTGGTGCTTACAGGGTGAGGATCTAGATATTGAACCATCATTCTGGGTCCCCCGCTAGGACGAATTTTTTTTTAATTTTTGATTTTTTTTTAAATCAGATATACTGAGAGGAGGAGAGACAAAGAGGAAGATCCTCCCTCTGTTGATTCACTCCCCAACCGTCTGCAACGGCCAGTGCTGTGCCAATCCAAAGCCAGGAGCCAGGAGCCTCCTCCAGGTCTCCCACATATGTGCAGGGTCCCAAGGCTTTGGGCTGTCCTCAACTGCTTTCCCAGGCCACAAGCAGGGAGCTGGATGGGAAGCGGGGCCACCAGGACCAGAATAGGTGCCCACATGGGATCCTGGTGGATGCAAGGCAAGGACTGTAGCTGCTAGAGTCTAGCTGCTAGGCTACTACTCCAGGCTCATAGGATGAATTTTTTTAAATGATAAACAAGGCATTTCTTGTGTTATTCAATTGGGGGAAAGGAGAAAGTTGGTCTGCCTTAACCAATCCTGGCTGGTTTTTTTATTTGTTTGTTTTGTTTGTTTCTGTGTTTTAAACTGTATTTATTTATTTGAAAGGCAGAATCACAAAGAGGAAAGACAATGACCTTCTGTGTGCTGGTTCACTCCTCAAGCGCCACATCAGCCAGAGCTTGGCCAGGCTGTCCTGGTCTCCAGCACCTGGGCACTCCAGGCACATCAACAGGAAGCTGGGTCAGAAATGGAGGTGCTGGGACTCTGCTCTGGGATGCTGGAGTTGCAAGTCTCAGCTTAACCCAGCACGCCACAACAGGCTGGCCATTTATTTTTTTTTTTTAAAGATTTATTTTTATTATTTTTTTCATTGGAAAGGCAGATATACAGAGAGGAGAGACAGAGAGGAAGGTCTTCCGTCCGATGATTCACTCCCCAAGTGAGCGCAACGGGCCGATACTATGCCGATCCGAAGCCAGGAGCCTCTTCCGGGTCTCCCACGCGGGTGCAGGTTCCCAAAGCTTTGGGCTGTCCTCGACTGCCTTCCCAGGCCACAGGCAGGGAGCTGGAAGGGAAGCGGGGCTGCCGGGATTAGAACCGGCGCCCATATGGGATCCCGGGCGTGCAAGGCGAGGACCTTTAACCACTTGCGCCACCGCGCCGGGCCCTGGCCATTTATTTTTGAAGTTTTTTGTTTTTAAAGATTTATTTTTTTATTATTTTTGTATTGGAAAGGCAGATATACAGAGAGGAGAGACAGAGAGGAAGATCTTCCGTCCAGTGATTCACTCCCCAAGTGAGTGCAACGGGCCGATACTATGCCGATCCGAAGCCAGGAGCCTCTTCCGGGTCTCCCACACGGGTGCAGGGTCCCAAAGTTTTGGGCCGTCCTCGACTGCTTTCCCAGGCCACAGGCAGGGAGCTGGAAGGGAAGCGGGGCTGCCGGGATTAGAACCGGCACCCATATGGGATCCCGGGCGTGCAAGGCGAGGACCTTTAACCACTTGCGCCACCGCGCCGGGCCCTATTTTTAAAGTTTTTTCCATTTGTCACATAGACCTGGATAGATTATTGGCAGAGGAAGCATTGTGTACACTTAGAGAACTTTCTTTAAAGAAAATAGTTAGGGCCCAGCCTGATGACGTAATTGGCTAAATCCTCACCTTGCAAGCACTAGTGTCCCATGTGAGTGTTGGTTCATGTCCCACTGCTCTACTTTCCATCCAACTTCCTGCTTGGGGCCTAGGAAAGTAGCAGAGGAGGATGGCCCAGAGCCTTGGAAGCCTTTACGCATGTGGGAGACCCAGAATTAGTTCCTGGCTCCAGGCTTCAGATCAGCTCAGCTCTGGCCATTGCGGACATTTGGGGAATGAACCAGTGGACGGAAGATCTTGATGTCTCTCTCGTCTCTCTGTAAATCAGCCTTTCCAATAAAAATAAGCAAACCTTTAATAAAGAAAAAACAAAGGCTGACCTTTAAGAGTAATCTCATTGTACAGTCAGACTCCCTCTCTGGGCATAGCTGCAACCACACTGGCCACAAAGATAAGATGTCTCCTCTGTGTGGACTGATGCCATACAGACTGCGGTTCACCCCAGGATGAGCATTCTTCCTGCCCTGGCTGCTGGCATAAGGCATCAGGCGTGTGCAGACACTGGTGCACGCAGTTCAGCTTTCTTTCTGTCTGAAGGCCTTCCACAGCAATCCCATCTAGGGGCCTTTCCACCACTCTGACATCTTCCGTGAACAGCAAACTTGTTTTGATTGTGGGAGCTGCTGTGACCAGCACTGTGCGTGTAGGGTTTCTGTTCAGTGTGAAGGCTCACAGCCAGGCTCCCTCGGAGGTTTCACCTTTCCCATATTCTTGCCACTAATTAGGAAGACTTTTCTCCTGTGTGTATGCGCTGATATGTTACACACTGCCTGGGGCCCTGAAGCTTTTTCTGAAGGCAGGCACATGCAAATGGCTTTTCTCCAGTATGGATTCCCTCATGTGCTATGAGATTTCCTTTTGCTCAGAAGGATTTTCCAAGTGGCTGCGGCTCAGATCACCTCATGGCAGGTGCATCATCTTATAGTATCTTAGAACGTAGCAGGGGAAGGGTGTTAACTTTGGCCTCCTGAGAGAGCTCAGGGACCCCATCCTGAGGCCCCTGGAGCCTCAGAGGGATCACACTATGTTGGGCTTCCTTCATCGCCCTCACAAAAATGCTGTGTTCTGGATGTATCTTCCATGACGGTCTGGCAGAGTAACAACTGGAAATCCAAACATGTGGATGCCTATTCTGTTGTCTTAATCAGCACCACGTCCGAGCATGATTTTCCAAGGGCTGCTCTTAAGCATCTGATTTTCCAGATAGTCTGCCTCTTCTTGCCTTCTAAAAATCCCTATGCCTTCTTCTTATCCCTCTTCCCAGACCCTGACCCAGAGATTGCCCTTGGCACATATCCAAGGAGTGGCAGACTTTACCTTCCCTTCCCACCACAGGCCAACCCAGATGCCTAGGCTCAAACTCTCTGGTCCAGGAGCTGTCCTCCTCAAGCCACCAACCTGTGCCCTGCAGGCTGACCTGCTGGGGGACTCAGTGGGGCAAGAGTGAGGCAGTCTTGTGGAGGTCCTGCCTCTCCAAGCACATTGACCAGCAGTGACCTCACTAGAATGAATTTTAACAGGCACTACTATAAAATGTAGCTGGATCTGCCTGTTCAGTTATCTGTAAAAGAGGCAGATTTTCAGTATGCAACCTTACATCCAAATTGCTCACCTTATGGCAGAATATAAGCATTTGCCCATGTCCTCCAGCCATTCATAATGTGTATCCTCTAGGATGGTTGCATAATATTCTCTTAAATAGCTCTCTGCCCCAGTTTACTAAGCCATTCCCATACTGAACACATAAGTCACTTAATTTATTTTTTTCATTCTTAATCTAATACCACCATGCATATTTTTTGTAGATAAAGCTGTTTTTTACATTTTGAGGTCATTCCTTATCTGAATTGTAAAAATCACCAAGTGAAAGTAGTTGGACAGGGGTAGGCTTTGTGGCACAGCAAAGTTAAGTCACTTGGGAGGCCTGCATGCCGTATTGCTGTGCTATTTAAAATTCCTGTCATTCCAGCCTAGTTACTTGTTAGTACACATGTGAAGGCAGATAAAAATGCCCTAAATACGTGTGTTCCTGCCAGACATGTGGGGAGACTACTGGAGTTCCTGGTCCTGGCTGTTGCACACATCTGGGGAGTGAACCAGCGGGTGGGAGTCTCCCTTCTTTTTTGTCACTCTGCATTTTAAATGATTTTTAAAATATATTTATTTTTTAAATTGGATATTTTTACAGGCTAAAAATTTGTTGCTAAGATATTTTTCATGTGTTCTCATTTTTGCTCCCCCCATCTTAGCAATTAACACAGCATCCCTAAAATCGCACCAGTGAGGGGCCACAGTTGTGACACTGGCATCCCAAATGTGCACCAGTTATTAATGCACCTGGGAAAGCAGTGGAAGATAGGCCAAGTGCCAGGGCCTCTGCCAGCCACATGGCAAACCCTGAGGGGGTCTGATGCTCCTGGTTTCTTGCAGCCATTTGGGTACTGAACCAGCAGATGGAAGATTTCATGGGGGAGCTTTCCCTTTCTTTATGACTGCCTTTTAAGTACACAGGTTGAATGCTGATGTGATAGAATTGCCTTTCTAAATTTAATGAAAAAGTTGGTGATTTGGATATTTCTTGACATGTTTGAGGAGCTGTGTGTGTTTGTACATATGTGTGCATGCAGTCGCATCCACCAAGTTACTCCCCATCTGCTACAGCAGCCAGGGCCAGGATCTCTATCGGGGTCTCCCTTGTGGGCAGCCAGAACCTAGCTGCTTGAGCCATTGCTGCCCAGGAAGCTGGGCTAGGGAGCTGGAATCAGACAATGAACCCAGCTACTCCCATGTGAGAGTATATCTCAACTGGCAACTGCTGGACTAAATGAATACCTGTACCAGCAATGGCGCATTTAGAAGGAACTAAGCAATTACATATATGTTTTTGAGAAACATTCAGTGTGTTTCCAGTGTTTATACATGAGCTTTTCCTGAGTCTTCTTTTAGTATTATTGATTCCACAATCTTTTCACACATATCCAAAGGACGTTTGTTTCTGGTTTCTGTTCTTTCAGTTTTAACCTTTTCTCTCACTGTCCTTTCTACTTGAATCACTTCACCTGCCCTTGGACTTTAGTTAGATGAAAAATCATCTCATTTCTCAGCTGTGCAAATTGTTAGCAAATTCATGACCCATAGGAGAATTAAGAACAGACAAATAAAAAAACAGTCCCTTCTGAAATCACTTTCTTGGATTCTTGCAAAAAAAAAAAAATTATACGTCCCAGATGAGTGGAAGAACTCGGTTCTGCTTTATCTCATTTTCTACATTTGCATGTTTCTAAATTGAACTAGGAGAAAATAAAGAAATAGGCAAGCATTCCATGCTATAGGAAATCTTGGGGAGACTAAATAGCCCCCACTTGGATGAGGACAATGATAACATTCTAGTCAACAAATGAGGTAGCCAAATGTCTCCCAGGATTGCAAGCATTCTGTCAGCTCTCATGCTCCAGGGACCTCAGGCCCGTGGTCCGCAAGCACGTTGGGACCATAGCCGCTGAGCCCCTCTGCCCTGCGCTTTGGGATTCCCCATGGCAAGAAACGGTGAGTGAACACAGTGCTAGTGTAGATTTGTCCTGACTTAAGCAAACAGAAATGTATGGCTTTTGAAGTCAGTGCCTTTTTCCTAATGTGTAAGCCTGCATATTTCTTACCTTTTAGAAAACCGCCAATCAAGCCAAGGAAAGAAGTCAGATGAGGAGACAGTCTCTAACAGCAAAGCATGGATCAGACATCACACGGTTTTTGGTAAAGAAGTAGAACATCCCATGAATGGATGGCAAATGGTTTACATGTAGGAGAACTGAACACGATGCTTTTCATTTTTCATTTTTACCTGGTATTTCCAGGCTGAAATTTTTCAGAGCAAAAATCAAGAGCTCTGATTGTGGTCTTGTGCTAAGTGCTTTCTTGTATTGACTCGTTTTTGAAGTTACATAACTGAAGCTGAGGTACAATGCTAAATGTGTATGATCTTGTTGATTTCATGTATACTGCCCGTTACGTCCCACAAGGCTTTGCGAAATTTGCATTTCCCCCATTATAGGCCTTATTCACTGTGTTACTCATAGATGATGTTTGTAAAATATGCTCTTAACTATCAGGAAAATGTTCTGGATCAGTATCGGTTCTGGACTGTAATAAGAATAGCTGGAGGCTTGCAAGCAAGAGAAATTTTGGAGGCAAATCATTTTTCAGGAATTCTAAGCCATGCATGACCAACCTGCTCAATAGTCTTGTCACTAAACCTCCCAGAGGGGCTTGGGGCGTTGTGGATGCTGCCTTTGCCGAATTTCTTAATTAGTCTCTTCATCAAAAAAAAAAAAAAAGAAAGAAAAACCAATCATGTTATACAAGCTAGGATTACTGGGTGAATTCATTCATTAAAACTGTTAAAAACTGAAAATAAAATATAAAATTTCTCTTATGCTTCTTTTTTTTTTAATGCATGAAGCTAGGCTTAGTGACAAAGCCCCCTTAGTCTCCCGGTTCTCATTTTTCTGTTTTCTACAGCGTTGTGCTATTGAAAGGATATTTATGGTACTTCTTTCCAAAAGGGCAGTGATGATAAGATGCTTTATAGTGACATTTTAAGAATGGAAGCATGATGACGAAACAGACAAAGGGGCTAACTCACCCAGCCATGTCAGAACTGTGAGAGCAAAGAGCCAGGGCAGCCCAGAATGCAACTCCAGGGAAGCCCAAAGCAGCAGTTTGCAAACAGTGTTTGGATGTACACCTCATTAGTTGCCGCATTTTCTCATTCTAATTAGCAGCTGCGGTTTTACAACACAGAAGGTTTATTTCTAGAAAGATTATACAATCATGAGTTTTCCTCCCAGTGTTATGATTAAGTTCACAACTGTTTTCAGCAGTGGAGATCAGTGGCATCATTTGTTTTGTGCTGGGCTCCCTTTGGCCTCCTTTCGGCTTGCTCGTCAAGCTCTCTGCAGTTTTCTGCCTCATTTCCAGGATAACCCCCCAGGCTCGTTGGGGCTGAAAGCCAAGGAGCTTGGCAAGGTGCCTTGCCCACCTCCAGCTCGTGGTGCTTGTGAGCCCAAGTGTGGCCTAAGTAGGTCAGATGTGACTAGCTCTTTAGATCACACTCAAATGCTATTTATAAAGGAAGAATTTTCCAACCTAAGATCTGTCTGATGGCTTGAAGTGCAATGATCTGTGAAGATGTGCCCTCTCTCTCCTAAGTTTCCCGATGGTGAGCAATTAAGAACGGTGTCAGGAGCAGGGAGCATCCGCCTGCCAGCACCATGGCTGGCTCCTCCTCCTCCCTTCTCTGTGTTGTTGTCTGCGCTTTACTCTTGGGACACCCAGAGGTAAAGAGTTATGGGACTAAACACAGAGACAAGGATGGATCTAAGGGCCAAGTCCTCAGGGACATAGCAGGCAGGCGGTGCTTTCATCCTCAGCCTCTGAAGGGGAAACTGCAGGTGGGAGATCCTGCTCAGGAGGTGGAGCCAGGCCAGCCGTTGCCCCTGTGTGTAGAACTCAGGGCAACAGGCGTCCTGCCCCACTCCCCTCACCGCTGAGCGTGTGTGTGTGTGTGTGTGTGTGTGTGTGTGTGTGTGTGTGTGTGTGTGTGTGTGTGTGTGTGTGTGTGTGTGTGTGTGTTTGTGTGTGTGTGTGTGTGTGTGTGTAGGGGAGCAGGCTGCTGGACCACCCAGCATGAAGGGAAAGACACCAGCTACAGCAAGGACTAAGATGACTCCGAGGGAAGAGCCAGCTCAGAAAAGACTAAAGCTAAGAACACAAGACACAGGCTCTGCTTGACGGGACCCTCCAGAAAGTGATGTGCTGGGCTCAGTGCTGTGGCCAAAGTCCTTGCCTTGAGTGCGCCAGCATCCCATATGGGCTCCAGTTCTAATCCCAGCAGCTCCACTTACCATCCAGCTCCCTGCTTGTGGCCTGGGAAAGCAGTCAAGGACGCCATAAAGCCATGGGATCCTGCACCCAAGTGGAAGACCTGGAGGAAAGTTCCTGGCTCCTGGCTTCGGATTGGTGTAGCACCAGCCATTGTGGTCACTTGGGGAGTGAATCATCAGACAGAAGATCTTCCCCACTGTCTCCCCTCCTCTCTGTATATCTGACTTTGCAGCAAAAGCTAAATAATAAAGGGAAGAAGAAGGTTATGTGCAGGAGGAGTAAGTAGGTGCTGGGGAGGGGAGGGCTTGGCAATATAGAACCATATGGGAACTTGCCTGTGCTAAAAGGGTGGTGCCTTCCTCCAGCTGTGGGGGAGCACTTCCTGAGCAGGGAGGCCCAGTGTAGTACAGGCCTACCTCCCTACTTCTGCCACCAGGGGCACTGGTGCCAGACTGCCTCTAAGAATGATTAAAGCTGTATTTGGTAGCTCCTGAATCAGGGAGGAGAGTTCATATGGAGTCGTTATGGCAGCCCATGCTCAGCAATGAATCACAGCCCTAACATTTTCAGGGTGATTTTCTTGTGACAAATAATTACTCCTCTAGGTTTTCCTAACTGTTGAGTGGGAAACTAATTTTCTGCCCATAGATTTGCTAATATCTCTTTTTCAGATCCTTGAGTAAAACATATTTTAAACTTTAAAAAATGTCTGAAACAGGTATTGAGACACTACTGCAAGTTAAACTTCCAAGTATGAAACTGGAATATAAGGCAGTACCCCAGATACTGTGTTTCTGATGCAGCTTCCTGCTAATGGACAGCTTGGAGGCCGCAGAGGAAGGCTCTGCTGTGTGGGCCCTTACCAGCTTCGTGAGAGACTTGCTGGGATCCTTCTTACAAGGACATCAGCTGGCATACAGATGAGGGTGTTTGGAGTGTTTACAATCAAATGATGGGCCCAGCATGGTGGCCTAGCAGCTAAAGTCTTTGCCTGGAAACACGTCCAGCATTGGGATCCTTCTTACAAGGACATCAGCTGGCATACAGATGAGGGTGTTTGGAGTGTTTACAATCAAATGATGGGCCCAGCATGGTGGCCTAGCAGCTAAAGTCTTTGCCTTGAACACGCCAGCATCCCATATGGGCACCAGTTCTAATCCCAGCAGCTCCACTTACCATCCAGCTCCCAGCTTGTGGCCTGGGAAAGCAGTCAAGGATGGCCCAAAGCCTTAGGATCCTGCACATGTGGGAGACCTGGAAGAAGCTCCTGGCTCCTGGCTCCTGGCTCCTGGCTTTGGATTGGTGCAGCACCAGCCACTGTGGTCACTTGGAGAGTGAATCATCAGATGGAAGATCTTCCTCACTGTCTCTTCCATCTGCTGGTTCACTGAAATGGCCACAATGACAGCCCTGGCCGAAACCAGAAGCCGGGAACGCCGTCTGGCTCTCCCGCAGAAGCAGGTGGCCAAGCATCAGGGCCATCTTGTGCTGCCTTCCCAGGCACATTGGCAGGGAATCGGGTCAGAAAGGAGCAGTCAGAACTGGACCCATACTCCAAGGTGTGCCTCACTAGCTCTTCAAGATTGAGAGTGTTGACTGCAGTGTGGATAGGAGCTCATTCTTGCTTTTGATAAGTAACTGTGTACGATTGGGGGTTTTGCTCTCAGCACTGTTTGTATGTGCCAGGTGAATTACAATGTTTTTTTGTTTGTTTCCCTGTGATTTCTTTTTTGACGTTTGGACTGTTGAATGTGTTATTTGATTCCCACACATTTTATTATTTATTTCTAATTTTGTCCCACTGTAGTTGAAGTTACTTTGTGTAATAGATATCTTTTCAAATAGCCTTATCGAAGAGCTGTCATTGTGACAAAGTCAGCATCTGGGATGCCAGCTTCCTATGTGGGTCCCTACATCCATATGGCAGAGCTGGGAAAGCTCCTGGCTTCAGCCTGGCCCAGGACTGACCATTGTGGCCGTCTTGGAAATGAACCAGCAGATAGAAGATCTTTGTCTCTCTTTCACTCCCTTTGTTGCTGTAACACTGATTTTCAAATAAATAAGTAAAAAAGATTAATTTTATTTATTTGAAAGGCAGAGTTATAGATAAAGAGAAAAAATATCTTCGATCCACTTGTTCACTCCCTAAATGGCTGCAGTAACCTGAGCTGAGCTAATCCGAAGCTGCTTCTGGGTCTTCCATGTGAGTGCAAGAGGCCCAAGGACTTGAGCCATCCTCCACTGCTTTTCCAGGCTACAAGAACTTAGCCTACCCCTAAATAAATCTTTTTAAAAATATAGTCTTAAAAAAACATAGTCTAGGGCCTGGCACCATAGCCTAGTGGCTAAATCTTCACCATGCAACCACTAGAATCGCATAATGGGCACTGGTTCTAATCCTGGCAACTCCACTTCGCATCCAGCTCCTTGCTTGTGGCCTGGGAGAGCAGTCGAGGACAGCCCAAAGCCTTGGGACCCTGCACCTGTGGGAGACGTGGAGGAAGCTCCTGGCTCCTGGCATTGGATTAGCTCAGCTGTAGCCATTGTGCTCATTTGGGGAGTGAACCTTTTTTTTTGTAAATCTGCCTTTCCAAGAAAAAACAAAAAACATAGTCCATGAGGCTGGTGCTGTGAGGTAGTTAGGTAAGCCTCTACCTGCAGTCCCAACATAAAGGCATCAACTGTACCACTTACAACCCAGCTGTCTGATTATGACTTGGTAAAGTACCAGAGGATGGCTCAAACTCTTGGGTCCCTGTTCCAATATGGGAGACCCAGAAGCTCCTGGCTCCTGGCTTTGCACTGGTCCAGCTGTCACTGTTGTGGCTAGTTGAGGAATGAAGTTTCTTCTGGGTCTCACATGTGAGCCTTGAGTCCCAAGGACTAAAGCCATTCTCTGTTGCTTTCCCAGGCAACCAGCAGGGAGCTGGATGGGAAGTGGGGCTGCCGTGCTTGGAGGTGGAGGATTAGCCAGTTGAGCCATCGCACCAGCCAACCCCTGATTGAATTTTATCCCTTAGTAACTCTTAAGTCAGATTCCCCTCCACTCTGTTGGTTTGTTCTGCTTTTTGCTGCTGTTCTGGTTGTAGGGTGGCTCTGTACCAGGCGTCAGCCTGAGATGGAAATCTTCAAAAATCTAAAAATAACCATAATAAGCTACTGTTTGATGACCATCAGATGGGTAAAAAAAAAAAAAAAGACTGCACATGTTTGTGGTCTAGCAAGGATATGGAACAACAGGAGCTTTTATGCAGGAGTAGAGTTGTGAGGTATTTTAACCACTTTGGGAAACAGTCATTCATGATAAAGTCGGAGGTACAGACAGCTCTGTGGGTGTACACACCAGGAAGGTCTGCTTGTGAAGGACTCAACTCCGCTGTGTTTGCAAAGCATTGCTTGCGTGGCAAGAAGTTGGGACGTCCCAATTGTT